ATAACTAATTTTAATGTTATTTACGGGAAGATTTTGTTGCAAAAGAAAAAATAATGATAATAATTAAATTAGGTAATATTATTTTTAATAAATTATGCACGTTTATAAGCGAAACGAAATAGTTTAATTAAATGTGTGATAACATTTTATAAACGATGATCGTTTCCGGCTGTTCAAGAATCATCCAAATTGTCAAAAACTACAGATATAAGTAGAGGCGTAATAATAATATATTACCGTGTAGGAATGACATTATAGGTATTTAATTGAATGAAAATATATGCGATTTTGCCTTGAGAATTAATTATAATAGTTGTATTTGTATTTATTTTTAAATCAAACTATTACCTATACTATGAATTTATAATGTATATGAATATTGTATACTTATTTATGTAAATTTATAATATATTAGTTCAGCTAGTGAAAAATAGGTTATAAGCAAATATATTTTTAATTATCTTGGTCACTAATAGTTAATACGTTATAGTCGATTCGAATGGCAATGACTCAATTTTCGGCAGATTTACAAGATCACGTTGCTCGATGGTCTCCTATAGTTTTCAGTTGTTGGAGACGTGTTGACGTGTTGTAAACATTTGTTAGATTATTGTAAAATCGTTTTCCCATTGACCCCATTATTTTATTCCAGAACTAATGTCTGAATGAATTATGTTTCCCACTAATTTTGTATTTTAAATCTAAACCGTTGTAAGTGTCTGACCAATAAAATATTAAATCTATACGAAACGTATATATTTAATACACTGTGTACAGTGTACATAATGAATTCGCAACGGTTGCGGTGTTAACAGTGGCCGCCACAACGATGTATAAATTAGACTAAGTAAATTTGTGGTGAACATCATTATTTCAAAAAATTTATGGATATTAATAAAAACGGTTAAGTTAAAGTTACAATTTTACATACATCAGTTATAGATTTGAATAATCGTTAATTGTTTAAAAATATCGAGTCACATTAATCATTGAATATTATTCCTTTTTCGAATCACATTATGAAAACATAATAAATAATACAATGTTTCTTGCGAAGGATTAATATTAATTTATAAATATACTATCTACTCAAAAATCTAAACAATGAGTAATCGACAAGTGAAACTTTCTCTTAATTTATTTCTTAATCTTTGTAATATAAAACAACTTTCAATGTATTATAATTGGTATTTTTATTTACATTCGTTTTTTAAAGTTATTTCTAATTTTAGAGCAATTCTATGACATAATTTCAAATAACACCTAACAATGCAATATTGTAACGACATGATAAATTGAAGACAATTCTCAACCGTATAAGTGTATAACAATAATATGTAAAGTTATAAATATTAAAGTAAATATTCTACACACGTGAATACAAATACCCGATTTAATGAGTATTTTAGTTAAATAGAAAGAATTCGAAAAAACAATTTATCTCACTTTTTTCAACATCGTCGGAATGTGCAAACAAGAATATAATACTATTATAGTATTCGTTGTTCGCACGAGGTACATAATATTGTTCTGTTGTAGGCTACTGTTTAACTAGATTAGTTCATGACCACGGTAGACAAAACATCGTTCAGAAAAAATACAAATCATAGTTAGATTTATTATTAAAGTATCAAATTATAATTGCATCATTTTACACCGTGGTTCAATGTAGAATAACTGTATACGTAAATAAAAGCATTTAAATACAAATAAAAATTATGAATCGTATTGTTTTGAGTAATATACTTCCGTGTTATTTTAGATTTGACCAAATTCTAGGTACGCAATTCATATTGTACTCAACCATTATTGATAAATAAAGTACAGTAATTTTTTTATACACAAATGCGTACAATTTTAAAATGTACTTAAAATCGGTGACGATACCTACACATGTATATTTGACATTCCAATTGTAACTCATATCAAGGAGCCATAATCTCTTGCAAATGTTTCTTAGAAAATAAGTACCTTTAATTGAAATATAATTCTGCGTATAATTAATTTGAACTTAAAAAACGTTTATTATTAGTTATCATTATGTAGTGCACATATAGGTATGGGGTACAGGTACTTGACCCGATATTTGTAACTAAATATTATCAACAACCGCTCTGTATATTAAAGTCGTAATACACACCAGATCATTTTAATAACGTCAGTGGATTGTATCTGTCATTACATATATGAAATAAAATATCTTCACCACACGGTAATACTAGTATTGGTCAAACATTTAAACTCCAAATACCCACTTACATCATGCTTACGCAGATATGTGTTGATATAAATTTAATGTCGGTCAGTAATCATCATTGTTATTAATTTTATAGGGAAAAATATGTACGAACAATACATTCAGTTATTCATGTATCACATATTTTGTTGTGCTATCACAACATTTTTAAAACGAAAAAAAGATAATCAAAAATTCAAAACCAAAATTTATATAAAAAAGCTGAACAATATAATAAACTAAAAATTTAAATTAGATATTTATGCATACTATTTAAACGTTAAAAATATTAAATTACTTAAATAAAACGGATCATTTTGTAGAATCTATAAGAAATTTGATACAGTTAAATAAATTAAAACTGATTACATTGGCCAAATATCAACTTAAAAATGTAACCATCTCATATATAAAACATTATCGCATATACATTAAACAAATTAATTTATATTCTTTAATAACTTCAAATACTATATGTTATAAATTTATAAATAAATTAATAAATTTCGGTTTTTAGAAGTATTATTTATAAAACATATTCAAAAATTATTTTTTATTTAATATTATGCTTATATAAATTAATACTATTTAAGCTGAAAATTTTATTTATTGATGTACGCGTAATAAGTAGACCAATCAACTAATATAAGACCCACACAAATTAATCACGTGTTATTAAAATGCAATACTGAACTCATATTTGAATGATTCTAATTATTAATATAAAACACTACATTGTACATTCTTAAAAAAAAAAGATATTTTATTAGACACTTCAATACATTACAAGACTACAATCATAACATATTTGTGTAAACGTGGATTTTAAGGTGATATTTTACTAATGTTTTAACGGTTTCGTTATCGGTTATAATATCTATATAGCAGCTTCTAAAATATCCAAAATTTCGTGCTACACACATAGTCTCGAATCGGCCAAATCTAAATAAAAAATTAATGCTCTAAAAACTAGCGCCAATGCTTGTGGATTTTTTTAACAGAAAATACATAATTTAAATTAAAAAGCAATATATATATATATTATTTTATAACTGTGAACAAAATTGAATTTTTAATTTTTTTTTTTTTTTAATTAATATACCTACTAATTAACTAAAAAAAAATAAATAAATTTCATCTATTCTAATGTATTATTATTTATTAACGTACTGTATTATATATCATATTATTTATCTTTTAGTTTATTTTTACGAATAAAGCTTAAATAGAACTGTAATATTTTATCAAAATAAATATTGTTTAAAACACACTTTTAAATTTTGTACCACACACATTTTTAGCGGCTGCTATTATAGTATATACAAACAACAATAGAACATTTTTCTGTAAATTTAAAATAAAATTATTTATGATATAAAATGTGCCTGAGCTCTGAAAATATCGATTTGAGTCAGTGTTATAAATTTATAATATTTTTATCATTATTGTTTGTTATAAGCTAAAAGTTGTAATTGTTTTATATTAATAATACTATAATTTTAGTGATCTTAATTCTCATTCTTATTAAATTAGTAATGTGATTATTATGGATATCATTCTTACTAGTAAATCCAGAATAAAATCTCCATCTTCAAGTTTAACAAATTAAAATGGACTATAAAATGCGTGTAATAAGGCATTGTGTATTTAAAAAATAGCATTGAGTGTTAGATGATTTTTTTGTATATTGTTATCTTGTTCTATATTGTATACATTTGTTGAACAAATTTCTAGCATGTCACACAATATTTGAGATTCAGTAAACAGGTTTACAAAGTTTTAACCATTTCCATGTATAATACCCGAAGGTAAAATGTGAATCATGAGGCTATACGACGAAATCGTCATCTTATGTAGGTTGCAACTAGGTCTAGGTGAATAGAAAATCCATAACTAGTAAAAGATTGATAAAACAATTATAGATTTCTTTTTTTTTTTTAATCTTACATACTGGTAAATAAACAAAATATTATATAATTATTAATATTACCCTATGTTAAGATAATATTATACCATGCCTGTTATCTACGTCTACTATATTAATATGTCTTAAATATTAATTATAATATTAAGGATGGCCTGTAAGAAACTTTAATGTTTGGAAGTATTTTTGAATTTTCGATATTTAATATTAAATATTTTTTGTTATAACGAAAGAATAGGGTGAAATGACAACAACGTCGAAAACTTAATATCGATGTTTGATAACTATGATTAATTATTCACAACGCTTGCAGTGTAATTAAAATAATTTAAAAGCAAAGAATAAAATTCGTAGTTGGTGTCGCGCAGTTTATTGTAGGAATCGCGGTATCAAAATCGTTCGACAAAAGTCATTAGTCCATAGACCAAACACATGTCATAAGCCATAAATGTTTAATAGTATATTAATATACACTTAACTAAACGTCATACAGGTAAGTGCCAACCTACTGCAGAAGTGAGCGATGTTGTAAAATATTTAATTAAACCTAATGCGACGAGACGAGACACATTCGTTACAACATCGATGCGTATAAACCATAAACCGTGAACAGCGCCGAGCGCCCGATCTCTTCTGCAGAGAACGACGTTGTACAACACAATTCGGCGGATTCGTATTTGCTCGACTTTTCACCGTGGTGTACCCGTGCGCGACGTCCTACTGCTCGGCGGGGCCGCTGCGGCGTTATTCGGGCTCGAAACCGTAAACGACATCGGGGCGACAGGTATTTAATACGTATATAGGTAACCGTACAAAGTCTACATGACGTGCGGTACTTACCGGACTTGTGTTAAGAATCCTCCGGGTGCGATGGCGTTATTAGAGGCGTATATTTTAATATGATATTATATATCGATTATTTCGCGTAGGTATCGATATCTCGTGCAAGTGCACTGCACTGTACGGAGGTGAATAATACGAACGAACTGGCGCGTGGAATACACCGTCCGTTTGCGGAGCGTATCGGTAAATCGATGGCGACTATCGTCGGGTCATTTGATCGCGACAGCGGGGTGGTTCGTGTGCAGCACTCGCGGCGGTCGAACGGAACGCGGCCGGCACATACAGAGACGAAGGAAAAAGAAAAGAAAAATGTCGTCTTTCAATGATATTGAGAGCGTGTCTTCGCGTCGTCGTCGTCGTCGTCGTCGGTCGCTCAGCGTCGTGCGAGTGACGGTAACGTTTACTGGTAGCAGACCGTACAGCGGCGTAGCGGTCTGTAACGTCTCGCGTGATATGAGTAAGTGGCTTGTGCCGGCACACCGTAGTGGCGTGTGCGTAAAAACCCACAGGAGGTGGTGAATAACGTATAGACGAGAGGCGTTGTAAAACGTACGCAGCGGCATGAACCGATTACGCCGCACGAAAATATTATTATTTCACATAATATTCATTATTATTACCGCCTGAGCGCGGCGGCCTTCAGGATATAATAATAATAGTAATAATAATATATAGGTACGTATATGCACATTATTTTTCACAATAATATTATGATATCGTCGTTAATAATATTATTATTGTTGTTGTTATTGTAATGCGCGTCTTTATAATAGGTATGAATTGTTGGATGAACCGCCTCATCGCGTGTACAACAGGTATTTCCGAAATGTCACGTTCCGAAAGGTGTCGCATCCGTTGAGCTCCGAGCGTCATCTTCATTGCATATCATCGTACGATTATTATTGATACAGTAGATGTTGCGCCATATCGTCTTTAAACTTGCGTTTTTTCTTTAATATATTATTATCCTTTTAATAGAAAGGTAGGTATACATCCCTAATGTCATAAACCGTGAACGATAAATGTTTATATATATATATGGATAAATACGAATTATTTTTGTTATTACTATTATTATAATTCATCATTAATCGTTTTATTAGTATATAAAAAATAATAATTACAATGATCACCATGTGTATTTATTATGTGGTTAACGATCTATCTCGTCGACGTGCGGACGTGTGTTCGCTCGTGTATCGGTTATTATTGTTGTTGTTGTCTTGTTATTCGGCTTGGAGTACGATGTAGTTATATAAGCTCGGACATTTCCTCGGTATCGGTCCTTGGATTACCCTTTAGACGTGCTTGACGTCATTTTTCTGCAGATTTAAATCATTGCAACATGACGCACGGACTTAACTATAGGGTACGCACAGCGATAGTAATGATACATCGTACCCACAGCAAAATATATTTAACTACATACCACTTAAAAATGATATAGACAATAATATATATTTACAATTATTCATACGCTTTGGAGTTTGTAGTTGTAAAATATGTAGACGTTATTGTGTGTACCTATTTATAATATCTCTTATACGTTATTTTGAAAATGTTGTCTGTTGTCTACGTAAAAAATTAAAACACAAAATCGGTAGATTCTTGAACAAGTTAAACGCAAAAGATGTGCAAATATCTAAATTTATTCGGTGTATTATTACTGTGGCATCCATAGTCAGGGTATTAGAGGAAAAGTGGGATGAATTCTACACAATATACAAATGTCAAGAATAAGAATGGATCGAACCTATTTAAGTTATCATATGCACAAGACACATAAAGTAAAATCAAATACGTGTACCTAAGTTTTTAATTCTTATACGATTAAAAATTAGAACCTAGGTACCTAATACCTATACTTATTATGTTAGTTTCTACACCACATTAAAATTTATAATGTTCGTTAACTATACTGTTATTAAACAAAATTAGATAAATTTCTTTCATACTTTATTCATACTAGTAGGATTGACACCTTCTTTTGTATTGTTTTGATGCGGTTACAACTTATTCATTTTTGTAAGCTTGATCTTATATAATATTACATTACATGAAAAAACACTCGGTAACCACGTCAGCGGCCTAGCTTTTAAAAGTTATCAATACTAATATTTATAAATTTTATAACTATAAATTATAGTCTATTGTCTATATTTTATACCAATAATATAATATGACATAACTATAATATTTTAAATTTTAACACATATTTAGTCTTACCTGACCTAAAATGTACCGTATTGGAATTTACTATCTCACAAACTATGATTTAAGTCGGAAAATACATTATATAATGGGTATAGGATATTATGTTTTTAGAGATTTCAAGGTCCGTAAATAATCATTGTATCAAACATAGTATTATATTATATACCTAGTCAAAATATCGTATTTTGATAAATTTAACGGCTACTTTTAGAATTCCTGCTGTGTATAATATTTTAACAAACCGTTGTCAACACATTTAAATAACAACAATAACCGTTTTTCTTTTTTACAATTTATTATAGGTATCTATTTATAAAGATTTTGAATAAACAATAATGAAATTTGGTTTAATGTAAAACTGTATACGATTTGAAAATAACTGATATATTATTATACATAAAACTATAAAAGGAACAGTGAGTTAAAAAAAATAAATATTTATAAAATTAATATTTGTAGAATATCTTGACTTATTCTTATAATACAATTCAAATAATGAAATTTTTGGATACGATATATTATTATTTAACTTATTTATGCAAAACTTGTATACGAAAACTAGCTTAATTTTAAATACACTATCATATCAAATCTTAAAAATGTCTAGATGTCGGCTATTGTGTAGAATGAAAATGCATTAACGGAATAATAACAATAATAAAATACGTGTTATTCATTACGAGAGAACTAATAATTATAAACATATTATGATTTAACGTTTTTACTGCCTTTTAAGTCATTAAAAAAAAAATAATAATAATACTTTAAAACAATACTTTTAAGTTTCAATATTGTTTCATGTTTTGACAATAATAAACTGATTCAAAAATAAATTATTATTTATAAACATGTATCATACATTAACCAGGTATAATACTTTCAGTTTATTTTAAATGGTCAAGTTGTGACGATTTTCTCAAAATTAACTTATTAAATATTTATTATTTATAAACATAGATGCATTATTTTTACATATATATAATCTTATATATCTTATGTATTTAAAATATGAAAATATAATTTTAGTTTTATTGTAATATAATTTGAATAAATTAACTTTTTACCTGTTATTATCCATTTAATACATTCACAATAACAAATCTTTTATTTTCTTTAAATTATTTAATATAAATTGAATAAACTACTAATGTTAGAAGTTTTATTCCATCCTACAAAGAGTTCAAGAATAAACTTCTATGGTTTATTTTGAGACTGAGAAAGTTGTTTTTACTAGAAAAAATAGTTTTGTCCTTGAACATCTTGAATAATACAATTATTTTAAAGATTCCGTTTTTTTACATATCAATTTGTCATATATTATTATAGTCTTGAATTTTTAGTTACCTATCTAAATTTTATGATATTTTTTGATTATTTGTATTACTTCAATAGTTCAATGTCACATTCAGTATTTTAATATTCAAACACTATTGAAGCTAAATAAGTTAAATTAGGTAGCTTAGAAAATGAAACTTAAAAAAATATGTATAATGTATATTGTATATAGTATATTGATTATATAAGTTGAAAAAAACAATATAATTGTAGACCGATAAATAATTTTAAAAATCTAGTAAAAACAATATATAAATATTTACATTTATATTTATACCTATAAAAAACCTAAGATTATAAATATTAATGCCGAGTTGCATAAACAATCATTACATTTAGTGAATAAATAGTGAACTATAAACGTGATTTAGTGGCCTATGAAACATGAATGGTTTACCAAATTAATAAATATTTTATGCAGCTCTGGATAAATATAAAATCTAAGATCTTATTCTGATATACGAGTATACTGTATAGTAATAGTTTATAGGTTTTGAGTGTATACCCTGTCAATTTAGATAGGTCATATTGTGTTAGAAGTATTAAATTTGAATTCAATATACATGGTTGGTTACAAAAATTATTCTAAATGAAGGAAATGAAAGGATCAGATTCTAATTTTAAAGATAATTTATTTTACTTATATTATTATCATTATTATTAGGTGCCTATTTTCTTAATTTGGCAAGTTAAAATAATTTTTTCAAAAACATTTTTAATGTATTAGTCAATGCCCACAATTGTAGAATATTGCATTTAATATGTTCATGGAATAGCTAAAAATTAGTTTAAATATTTTGAAATGTTATTGGTTATTATTTATTATGTTTAGAAAATAACAATGTACGTAATTTGAAAAAATATTCAAGGCTATAATAGATTTTTAATTACAACAAAATATTTAACTGAAATTGCTATTTTATGTTCAAATAAATGATACCTAATTTAATTTTGGTAAAATATACTAATATTTCTAAATATCTATAAATTATTTAAGAAAGACAAAAATTTTTTTTTTTTTAATTTCAAGATTCTATAGTTGTTCTTTATTCCTTTGTGAATCATGTCTAATTAAACAAAACCGATTTTATCGATATACAGGTGGTGTTGCATAAATATTACATTTTTGGCTTTTTTTCCTAATTAATAACTTAAGTACAAAAACTACAAGAGTTTCCTATTTTTTAGTTTTTACTGAAAGTATCAACTAGACAAAATTTACTATTAAAAACCACTTCCAATCTTGAATATTAAAACAAATTTTTCTTTACAAAAATACGAGAATATAAAATATAAAAACCACATCATTATATAACTCTTCTCCACTTAAGTTATACAATGTAATATTTAAAAAAAATAAGTTTAACGTCAAAAATATGCATCAGGTATAATTTTTTACTACTGAAGACATAAAAAATATATTATAGATATATGCGAATAGAAATTATTAATACTATGTTTTCTTTGATTCGATTATATTATCCTTTTTTTTAAGAAATATTATCGTGCCTCATAATGACTGCAGCTAATAATTTATTTTCTTCTAACTGAGAATGCGCTTTCTTGAAGAAACTGAGTTTCTTCCTTATCATTTATCGCATTAACTCTAGTATAATATTTAACCAGTAAAGCTACGGTTAACGTATATCATATAATAATACAATTTTTTCCATTACCTACCTACAATTTTATTTCACAGAGAATTTAATATTTTTATCAAATTAATTAATTTGCTTAAAACAAATATTTCATAAAAAATTATGATAAAACAATCTCAAAAATCATTAGTCACACGTATTATTTAAACGTATAAATTGTTTTAGTACACACTTAGTGCACAAACATAGTTCAAATTTGTATATAGAATTTATTGAATCATCATTTAATTTAAAATTACTAGGCATAGGTACTATAAGTTGTTCATAGATTAGTAAATA